GGTCAATGATAGTTTTATCACCTGGGATTGAAAACCAAGGTTATTCATTTGGAGCTGAAAAACAAACTAAAGAATTAGAGTAAATTAATTTAAAATTTATATTTGAAACCTATATTGAATTGTATTGAATGTAATTTTTGATATAGGATTATAAGAACAAGATCTGGATCTATAAATTATCCAATTAAAAACCTAGAGAACAATGTATGTATACATTAGTATTTTTTTTAAATAACAATTTATTATTTTTATATTCCAATATGAAATTGTATTACTTTAAGGGACACAACTCTAACATAGCAGAAGAAATTAACAGAACAATGGTTTTTCAAATTGGTAGAAGCGATTTACGATTAATAAGCCCAGATCGCAAACAAATTCTTTTACATAAACAATTAAAAGATATAATTAACTGTGTGCAGGTTTGATATAAATTATTCGTAAATTTAAAATCATAAATATTAAATAATCCATATTTATTTTTATTTAGGGTTCTAGAAATCAATTACACTTTGGTTTTACTTGTAGAGATCCTTCATCAAGTGAAAGTTGTATTGGATATATTTTTAAATGTGAATCAGAGTCTGTCKCAGTTGAATTAGTCACAGGTTTTTAATGATTAATGTTTTTATTAATTTAATTTAATGTATTCTTTTACCTATTTAGCGATTAATTTGGCTATCAATAACACTAATGAAGCATTAAAGAAAGAAAAACAAGTAATAGTATCTTGTGAACATTGTCCTATGGTGTGGTTTCATAAACTATGTTCTGACATTGAAAGTATGTTTATTTTAGTAATACAAGTTTAGCAATTTTACATAAACATTTTTTTTTCAGATCTTAGTGATCATAAAATTCAAACTGTAATATTTAAACAGTTAGAAACATTGCCTGAAGATGATCAAGAAATTGTACTAACAAAATTACATGGTTTAGAAACATTAAGTAAAATAAGTCTCAAAGAACAAAATGAACTACTAATAATGTTGTTAAGAACACACTGTGAAAGCAAACAGATGAGGCATGTTCATGATTCAGCTGAAAATAGGTATGGAAGTGGGACTTTATCTAATATAATTTATTTTCTACAATAAACTGCAATTTTTCTTTTAGACATGAATTTTTAAATCAATATCTTGGTGGAAGTACAATTTTCATGAAAGCAAAACGTTCACTAACCAGTTCTTTTGATCAACTAATGAAAAGGAGAAGTTCAAAAGATGATGTAGGCCTAATAGCTACAGTTAAAGAAAATTCTTTGCCAAATAATGTTGCATTTCATAAAGTAAATATATTAACAAAAGGATAATTTGAATTACAAAATTTTGATCATAAATCCATGTCATGTACTTTTATTTTATTATTTCTGTAGTTGATTTGAATGAATCAGTATATAATCTTTTTATTTGTTTAACTTTCTTGATTATTTTAGTTACAATGAGTAATTGTATAATTTATGAAATTAACTTTAAAAAAAAACTTTTTTTTAAATATAATATTCATTATTCATTATTGTACTATGAATAATTATAATTATAAACATAAATATTTTGAGTTATTCAAACTAACTACCTTACAAAACAATAAAAATAAATATCTTTTATTTATTAGGAATATTTTATTTAAATTTTATACTTTTAAATATTAATTTAAATATCAAAATAATTTATTTTATTTTAGGAACCTTCTCCAAAATCTGATTTAAGTTCACGACTACAAGTACAAAAATCAATATCTAATGGTAAAGCACATTCTAATAAACCAGAAGTTTGTTTGGCTGAAACTAAGTCTCACAGTAGCCCAGCATCAATGATGAATATGTTTGTTAATATGATTATAATATAAAAAGCTACTTCCACAAACATTATAATTATTTTATTTTAGGTTTTTGAAAGTTGGTCAATCCCCAAAATCTTCTATGATTTCAACTTCAGATAATGATTCTGATGAACAAAATGATCTGAATCCAGGGAGTTGGCGTCAAGCAATTTTCAAAAATGTCGTCACTCCTAACAAACAAACTAAAGGTAGTTAGGATTTTTCAATTTATTGCAGTAGTATTTGAATTTTTATTTAATCTTGATGTTTTAGATACTGAGAATGTTAAAAAGAAATTAGATGCCAATGATTTAAGAGCTCTGTGGAAAAAAGCAATTAATCAACAAGTTTTATTAATTCGAATGGAAAAAGAAAATGCAAAATTAAAAGGTTGGTAAAATGTATGAAATTCTTATAATGTACTACACCCATAAAATGTATGTTATATATACAGTAGGGTCTCGATAATCCGAACACAGGCTAATCCGAAAGACGCGGTAATCCGAACGGGCTTGAGAATTATCTTATCACCATAATATGTACATATTATGCATGTATTTATAAATAATATTTTCCGGTAGCACAATTTTTCGATTATGTGGGACAATGCATATCAATCCATAATAGGAACCAGTGTACAAAAAAAAAAATAAAAAAAAATAAACYAATATTTTAAATGGTAAAAACTAAAAGTTCATAATTATATTAATATTTTTATGTATTCATTGTCTTTTGAAATTACGAGTTTTTACACGATTAATACCTACAAATAAAAATAAAATTTCATAATTAAAATTACAATAAAATTGATGTTTTTTTTAAGCCATAGGTAATCCGAAATAATCGCTAATCCGAACGACACCTTTCCCCAATCTCGTTCGGATTATCGAGGCTCTACTGTACTATATTCTGGTCTAAAAGAGAAAGAACCCATGTCTCGATGAAAACCTGTCTGGCTTTACACAGTTCCATCAACACAAAGCTCACTTGCATCAAATAATGCTGGTTCCAGTTCACTTCTTAGATCCTGATAGTCAATGGTGGCTTACACAGTACCTAGAAATACTTTTTTTTTTTTTTATTTAAGAAAAATTTACAATCTATATACAATTTATACAATAAGTAAATATGATGAAATAGGAATACTTAAAATTTTTAAATAGGGGAAATAGTACCCTGTACGTTGGCATACATTTTCTTTCTCTTGTGGGCCAGAGTCTAAGTTACAAGAGCTATATAAACCAATATGTGTTCGAATGTATTCTGTAATAAATTTAATTGCAAAACATAACTTTAGAAATAAATGTACAAGTAAATAGTATTATGACAAGGCTAAAACTCAAAAGTAAAAACTAAATTTTGTTGGAGATCAATGTGCTTTGGAAAGCTTAATTCTTAACTTAATAAATTCCAGCTCCTCCCCTGTTCCCAGCTCTATTCTTTATCATGTATACTAAGTAAAAGCCATATATTAGTCCATTAAGGGTTCATAACTTCTAGTGTTCAAATCTGAAGTACAGGAAATATTTAGTATTGTTTCACTGATTATTTTATTTTAAAATGTTTGATATGATATTTTAAAATTACAGAAAGGCAAGAAGAAGCCACAGTAAAAAGAATAAAACTGGAGTATGATGATATTGGTTCATCTGCTCGAGAATATTTGGGTGTGTGGGAAACAATAGTTAATAAAGAGAATCGTAAATATGATGCAAAAATGTTGCGTCAAGCTATTAGACAAGGTATACAATATTTCATCATAAATATTATCTAATAATAATTAAGACACTACACCCACAATTCACATATATTGCCTCCATCTTACAAATGCAATGGATAGTAAAACGGTTTTKCGCAGAAAATAACTGAAAGGCTACAGTTATAATTAAGAAATAAAATTTTCATTCTATAAAGAGGAAAATATTTACTGTACAATCTTATTTTTTGACTTACAACAGTTTTAGCTATGTTTTATATTAATTGTGAAACAGAGTCAATACATGCAAGTATAGTGTCCTCTTAAAGTCTTCATTTATACAATAATAATTATTAATTAATATAACAGGAGTTCCAAGAAGTAAAAGAGGAGATGTTTGGATATTTTTTGCTGAATTGTATTGTAACACAACTGCTCCTTCTCCTATTGATTTAGAAAAGTTTCCAAATTTTAATGTACCATATGAACAATTATTAAAACAATTAACTAAGTATCAACATGCTATCCTTATCGATTTAGGTAAGTTGTATTCAAGTATATATATTTTTTACTACTCTATACTGAAGTTATAAATATTAAGTTTAATTTAAATAATTAAACTTCAAATAAAAATTAATTGCCTATTGATATTTGTATTATTGTTAATATTTAGTTACATATTGAAAATATAATTATTTTTATGAAAATTACAGGAAGAACATTTCCAAATCACACTTATTTTATGTCACCGTTTGGTCCTGGACAACTAGCTTTGTACAATTTGCTCAAAGCATATTCCTTATTAGATCCAGAAGTTGGATATTGTCAAGGACTATGTTTTATAGCTGGTGTTTTACTATTACATGTGAGTTATACTTTAACGGAATATTTGTAGAAAGATCTTGTATGAAAAATTATTTTTACAGATGTCTGAAGAACAAGCCTTCATGATGCTGAAACATTTAATGTTTAGACGTTCATTAAGAAAACAATATCTTCCTGATATGGCAGCTTTGCAAGTTCAACTTTACCAATTATCTAGACTTCTTCATGATCACCACCCTGACCTTTATGCACATTTCGACAATTGTGATATTCCTCCAACATTGTATGCTGCACCTTGGTTTTTGACAATGTTTGCTTCACAGTTTCCATTAGGATTTGTTGCTCGCATATTTGGTATAATAATACTAATTAGTAATTTAAGCTCTAAACATGTTTAATTTGATAAATATGTTTATGTGTTTTTCTATAGATATTCTATTCTTTGAAAATATTGATGTTCTGTTTCGTGTTATATTATCATTGTTGACATACCATAAAGATAATCTGCTTGCATGTGATGGAATGGAACAAATAATGAACTATATTAAAAATGATTTTCCTGTAGTAAATAAAGAAATCATTGACAAAATTATTAAACAAGTATTTTTAAATAATCACATAAATTTACTTTAATTATAAGTATATTTTTGTTTTTATAAGGTATTTACAACTGATTTATCAAAACAATTAATGGAATATGGAGTCGAATATCACGTATTGCAAGAAGAATTATCTTCACCCAGTCCTGAAATTAAAAAAATTAAGCATTTAGAGGAAATGAATAAGTCTTTAATGCAACAAAATAAAATTCTACACGAACAACTCGAGGTAAATTTGAATAGTAATTTAATAAATGTAAAAATTGCTGAGTATAAAATAAATATAATATTGAAAACTGTGTTAATTCATTTGTTTGATGAAAATTTCTTGATTACTGTTCTGCAGATATCAATAACAAATAATGGACGTTTGGAAATGAACAGATCTTCTAATCTTTCAGCAATTAACCGGTTAGAAAGTGAAGTTAAAAGTCTTGAGCTTACTGTGGTGACATTGGGAAATTTTATATCTGAACTAGCGTATTCTCATTCAACCATAGAAATACCTTCTGACGTATTAGGTTTGATATCTCAAATAAATATGTGCCGAAATCGGCGAAGTGATAATAAACAGACAAACATTAACAATTTATTCAATAAACCTCAGTTAGAGATACCATGTAGAATAAAACCTATGTTGGAAAAATCTTTATCAGACTCCAAAAACATATTGAAAAAATCGATAAAAGAAGAAATAAGTCAGGAAGAGGTCAAAAAGAAAATTTTTTTAAAAAGCTCTAAGAGTAATTATGAATTATTAAGTAATGAAAGTAATTTAAATAATAATGGATTGCATCCACTGGACTGCGAAGATGTGAATGTATGTTATTCTGGAACTACAAAGTTGCGAACGATTAAACCGATTCGTAGCAATAGTGATGGTCATTTTATATTACCAAATATTGTTGCAATAGATGTAGATGATTCACTTTGTAAACGAGATAAAAATGAAAATATTGAACTAAATACTTCTACCATTAATGGAAATTAAACGTTTCTCATCCTTCATTTGTATACTTTTGTGTACAACTTTATTATACCTAACTATAAAATGTATTGTCCATTTATTTAATACTTTTATATTAATTTATTTTTGTGATAATTTCTATTAGTATTTTTCTCAATTAAATATAACATGTTGTGTTTTAATAGTTATGTATGTTGTAAAAAGTAAATACTGTACGTTACCTGAATCAAACCAAAACTTAATTTAATTTAAATACATTGTACAATAATTTTTTAACAATAATGTAGTAAAACGAATTTATTTCCATTAAATTTTTTTTTTGGAAAATTTTAAATTCTTATTATTTATATTGAATTTGCATATTATACATTTATATTAATTTATGTAAATAATTGTAATACTACTGTTAAAGTTTTATTTATTTATATGTTAATTATATTTTTATTAATTAAATTAATTAAACTTATGAAAAAATAAATTCCTCCGAATAAATTTATCAATCTCCCCTTATGTTGAAATAAATAATAAAGTACCTGATAAATTAAGATGATCAAAATTGAAAATTTTGTTCAGAGATCTGAACAATGAAGTTTGCAAAAAGACAATAGATCTTAGCATAATATAATTATGTGAGTGATAACCAAACAGTTGATGCCACAGATAGAATATATTATAAATTATAGTCATTTAAAGAAATAAACAAAAATTTGTTGGAAGAGAAACATGAATACATGACTCTCACAGAAAATTAATTTCAAGATGCATAAATAAAAACCTATTATTTTTATACCTACTGGTATAAATAACACGATAGTTATGTACTTATTGGTGCCTATACAAATTGAAAAAAGAGATATAGAAAAAAACTATTTAAATTTGGTTTGGTTAGTTTTAGCTAAAATATAAAATTGCATTGCAAAACAACTATTCACCAATTAAGTTAATCTGACAAAATAGTTTTAAAGATGTGGAAGGTAAAAAAACTGGGCCTTAGTACAAAAAGTAATAATAATAAATATCATTGTTTAAATAATGTCTTGAGGTAAATTATAAGTCTCAATCAAAATAAAACTATTTTACAGTTTATTTAACAATAAAATAATATTAGTTTGTTCTAAATATAGTAAAAATGTGCAAAATTCAATGGATATCAATTAATATATAAAATTAAGGTGATAAATTGTCCATTAATAGTAAACTTTTTGAGGTTGATGTAAAAACTATGATTATTTTAATTAATATTCTTATTTATAATGACTAATATTAATTAAAAAAAAAATAAAAAAATAATTGTCACAACTGTGTAAGATATTAAATTAAAATGTATAAAGTAAGTAATTAAGTATTAAGTACGGACGACTATGATGTAATAGCCTCATTATGGTGAAAGAAGAGACTGGAGAGTGAAGTTTATTTGTAAATGTCTTTCCTTCCATCAAATACTTCATGCTCTAAATTAATATATGTCCTGCTGCCACACATTAAAAAAAAAAGATTTTGTGGACTCTTTCATGTGCTTGGAAATTATTGACTTATATTCTATACAGACATTTCGGTTACCCAATCTAATCTTTATAGAAGGATCATGTTAATATTGTATGCCTATATATATAATAAATGTAAACCATTTAATTAAATATTAATATATTTAACAGAATAACTTTTTCTAATAACATACAAAATAGGCGGTATATATTACATTTTAAAATATGTTTATTAGTAGGATATAGGTACTAGGTACTTAATTATCCTAATAAATCTAATATCAATTTTGATTATATTTTATCTTTAACAAAACGTAAAACATTTTATAATTAACAAAAATAATTCAATATACGTACTTTGATCAACATATTATATTTTAAGTTTTATTATTTTCTTCTTCCTTTTTGTCAACTTCATCATTGCCCTCTTCAACAATTGGTTTCTAAGAAATTCAATATCATTAATGTTAAMGAAAAATGAATAAGTTTAAGACCATAAATCTTAAATTTATTAACTTTTTATACACTGGATATTTGTTTTAGCCATGAAGAAATCAAAGAAATGAAATTCAAAATTTATGATGTTTAACAAAATTATAACTTATAAGTAGAGATGTTATGAACTGTTCGATTTTCGAACCSAACCGAACCGAACTCTGAGTGTTCGGTTCGGTTCAAAGTCCGGACTGGAAATTCCAAATAATTGAACCGAACCAAATATCTAATAGTCCGGTTCGATAATTGAACCAGAGAAATAAAAATGAAAGTCGATGGAGTAACGGCTAAAATTATAAATTAAATTAATAATTATTATTAAATAATTAATAATTAATATTTATTATTTATGAGTTATTACTATTGTTATTGTTAATTGCGTGTTTCAACCGGCCGCCGCACACCTTTCCTACCACCCATAGCCAATGACCATTCAGCGCATTATACGAGATTGTCTAGATAGTAGATACTCCGTGCGGTAGGGAAGGGGGGCCTCGTTATGAAACCCTCAATACAAAAATAGATTGTTATTAGTTGTTTAAATGTTTAATGTTTGCTTGTTTTAAATATTGATGTTTTTCGCTTTTTCTCATCAGTTACCATCACATTAATAATTAAAAATTAAAAATCTCATGCATAATTATAAACTATTAAAGTATTTAAAGTATTTAAGTAAATAGTAGTAAAATCTTTATTCAATAATTCTGAGGTATGGTGGCTAAATGATGAATAAATAAATAAATAAATAAATAAATATTAAATAAAATAACATCAAATTTAACTTTTAATGTTCGGTCCGAGTTCGATAAAATATTTGAAGAGTTCAATTCGGTTCGGGTTCGATTAAAAGTGTATAGGTTTGGATCTGTTCGAGTTCGTTAATTTAAAGAAAAGTTGGGTTCGGTTCGACCTTAAATATTATGGTTTGTAACATCTCTATTTATAAGTAGTTAGCAGGTATACTTTTGCTTTTTGGTATAGTTAAAATATTTTGATGCCAAAATAATAAGTCAAGTTTTAAAAATTTCCTTATTAGTAACTTATCCATAAAAAAAACATTTTTATATGTAAATCTATCAGGGTGAGAATAAAGTTATTAAGTTATATTAAGTAAAAATCTATTTATTTATTACGATTATTAATGGATGTTAGAAATAGTCATAATAAATTTATAATCATTCTGTCTCACAATATTTCAAAAATCAATATTCATCTCTAGTAATAACTAATAATGGTATATATTATTTAATATATTTTATTTATTAACTATACATATGAAATATTATATTACCTCTTTATAAATTGTAGAATTTTGATAAAACACCATACTGATGCCAGCATGCCAACATTGCTTTAGTACTGGGTCAACAAGCCATCGTTTATCTGCACAATGATGCCAACAAGAAAGATCATTTGTACAATCACTATCTACTGGAGGTAGTTTTGTTTGGATATTATTAATGCAACGGGTGCATTTAATTCTAAAAAAAAAAGATATATATATATAAATATAAAACAAAATATAGTAAATCAATAACCAAATTAAAAAAATATATTAAATAACATTTCATTTTTTAACTGAGTGATTGAAAAAGGTTTTTTTATGTTCAAAAATTCAGATCAATAAATTATTTTTCTACCAACCCTATTCATCCAACCCAGATAACTCAATTAATATTAACACTACACAATATTTTTACTACATTTTTATATTTATATTTTATGGAAGTAAAATATTTCAATAAGTAATGATTATTGTAATTTATTTTATTGTATGTTAACATTTAAAAATGATTTTACTTTTCATGTGTATCACTAATAGTATCTTGCCGTAGATTAAATAATGTACGTAATTCAGAAACTGTAAAATGCCTTGCAACATCTTCTTCACAGTCAACTACACTAGAACTCAAGGCTTTTTTGTGTGCCTGTCTTTGCATCATTTTTTCTTCAATACTTCCAGTCTACAACGATGTATTCAATTTATTATTTTAAATATATTTTATTAATAATAATTCATTACAAAAACTTACAGCTAAAAATCGATATACAAAACAAGGTTTTTTTTGGCCATCTCTCCATACTCTAGCCATTGCTTGATCATCATTAGCAGGATTCCAATCGGGATCAAACATTACTAACCTATTAGCGCCAATTAAATTTAATCCACAACCTCCAGCTTTTGAACTCAACATAAACAAAAATACACCACTAGTAGGGCTATTAATATCATCTACAGCCTGTTTAAAATACAAATAATAGTTATTAGTTTATTACAGTAACAGGTTTAATATTATTGTTATTATGATTTCATATTTTAAAAATAAATATAGGTAAACACATTTATAGTCCAGCCCATGAAAAAAGTAAACCGTTTCTAGCATGTAGACTGAGGGTAGCGTCTGTTCAGGGTCATTGTTATTTGTTTCCCTCATCAAGTGAAAGTCAGTGGCATACTATACACATTAATCGTTGTTAATAGTTAATGACCGTCTTCAAAGTTTATCAATAATATGACAAATTGGTGGGAGATGTATCAAATCGATCACGTTTTGATTGGGAATGTTTATTTTTTTTGTTGGCCAGAGTATAATATGATTTATAGGTTATTTAAAATTGAATCTCTTTACTCATTACTTAAGTACCAGAAAGAAAATATGATGAGTAGTTGGTATTTAAAGAATATTTAGATAACCATGTTACATTCTAAGAGGAGTCACATAACTTGAAATTTTCAAATATTTACTCTCTTTTTATTCTGTTTAATGTATTTTGAATTGACAACTTTTTAGTTTTTATTTTTGGGCAAAAAAGCTTGAAAATTTAATAAATTGGGTCCTAGTTAATATGTTTTTTTTAAGTTAAAATGCTTATAAAATGTGCCAAGATCATTAATAATTGTAAATTACTACTTTTGAAGTTGAAATTTTCATAAAACTTTTCTTTTTATTTTTGAGATAAATATACAATCTTGCCCTTTGGCATAATAATATTGACAAAACTAAAAATCTAAACAAAAAATTATAATTTTAGTACCTTTGTTGTAATTAAAAAATATTTTTCTTGAACATTTGATACTATATAAAGTATATGTAGCATATGCACAATAAAACTACCAAAATATTTAGATTAATTTTTTGCTATTGTCTATGAAGATCTATCACTCACCTAAAATCACTGTAAGTTTCTTTAGAAATTATTACAATTAATTTAAATATTATTAATATAGCAAATGCAATGTTGTTGGAAAAAAATATCTCAAAAATTATACCTTGTATAGGACAGTCTTTGCTCACTTTTTGTGCACTATGATTTATCATTGACTTCAAATTTTACTCATCCATTATAGTGACTAACTCAATGACAAGATACACTCACATTTGATGTATAACAGATCCAAAAGCACTGATTTAGAACTATTATTCCGAATTTAAAAATAATTTTAACTAATATAATCTTAAATATTTGAATTAATTTTATAAATTAATTAATAGTATAGGTATTAGGTACTATTGAATAATTTGAATAATACATTTTTTAATACGTAGATAGATATAGTAATACATACTTTTGCTCTTTTCTTAGCAGTCATGGATCCATCTAATCTAACAAATGTATAGTTTCTTAATTTAGCAAGTCTTTCAAATAACTCCAATGTTTGAGTATAATTAGAAATCAATACCACACGATCAGTGGTGGTAGTTTTTATAACAGCCAACATTGTGTCGAGGACCATTAATTTGGATGATAATTCAATCATGAGTTTTTTTCTGAAAAATTATAATACAGAATCAATATTACTTATAAATAAAAATAAAGGTAAAAATGTAAAATTCGCAATTTTAAATCAAAAAACAATTATATTATTGATTATATATTAATTTATATTTATAACTTCAACAAAACATAAATTTTAAATTACTTGGAATGAGCTGCAATGTACGATGGAGGTAGTAGATGTTTTGAATTTTCAAATCCATCAGTTCCATTCATTATTTTATCTACTATAAGATCTGGATGAGCACATAACTTTTTGAGCAATGTAATAGCAGCTAATGCATTGCTAGTAACTTTCCCATCATTACCTGTAAATGAGTAAATAATGTAATTATACTTTTTAAACTTTAAATTATTAATATTTAAGTAAAAATTATTGAAAATATTAGTATACTTTTAATTGATTTAGTGACCATATCGGATTTAAGAAGATGTAGGTATAAATCAGTTTGTAGTGGTGTCAATTTTATGCAAACAACATGTTCAGTTTTAACTGGTAAATATTTGGAAAGTAATGCTGAGGTACGTCTAATTAGACACCTATTTACTAATGATATCAATTGTTCTAAACGCTCTGCTGCTTTTTTGCGTTCCGAATCAGTAGCACAGGAATCTTGACCTCGTGCAATAGGTGTTTCAAACTGGCGACGAAATTCTTGAGCTGTCCCTAAGATGCCTTCATTAACAAAATTTACAAGACTAAAATATTCAAGTAAATCATTTTGGATTGGTGTGCCTGATAATAGAACTCTTCGTTTTGCTTTTAAAGCCATTAAAGAACGATAAGTTTGATTTTCACAATTTTTTAATCTATGTCCCTAAATATGTATTAAAATAATTTTAATTATATGATATATTACCTCGATATAGATTAAGATAAAAAAGATTATATTTACCTCGTCACATAACACAAGACCTATATCTTCTGCATTTTGTAACAAACTTGCATGGCTACGGAAAGTTTCATATGATATAACTAAAATTGGATCAACAGTTCTACGTCCTCTAGCTTGAACAAACCCAGTAATTACTTTGTCCACTTGTTCTTTGCCTCCTCCATCAACAGGTAAAGCTCCAATTCGACCACCAAGCCATTTTGTTATTTCATTACACCAATTCTTAAATAAAATATAATCATTTTAATGTTTATTAATAATTAATATACAGTTATGATTGATTTGTATTTCTTAAAAAATATTTGTTTTTACCTTTACTAAAGAACTAGGAGTAACTATTATAGCTTTGTGAATAGTAGGTGAAGCATCTGGTCCTTGTTTCAAAAGAGTCCACATTAGAGTTATGCATTGCAAAGTTTTTCCTAATCCCATTTCATCTGCCATAATGCATCCATATGCACCTTCTATACGTACTCCCGTAACACATTCATACATAAACTTAACTCCCTAAAATGTGAATAAGTTTTAAAAATAAATTATTCAAAAAGAATTCATCAATAATATAATGAATGAATTTAAGAAAAAACAACAGTATGGAATAAAATGTACCTAGTAATGGGATGTAATTACTTTGCATATTCAAATGCATTAATTTGGTAATAATTTAATAACAATTTTATTTTTTGAAATAATAATTTATGTGTCTAAGAAACGCAGAAAAAAATTTACCTGCACACGTCTTTTTCCTAGGGGAAATTTTTGTTTTATATCACCCTCATTGAAAAAACAATAGATAGGGTTGATAATAGTAATAATTAAACTGGTTAATCGTTACCAATGACAATGATTAATATCTAATAGTTTAAGATAGAAGGTCTAATTAATGAAAAACAAGCTCAAGGTTCTACATTTAATAATATTTAAAAATATACTAACTTCTCTTTGATGGGGCCTAAGTATTTTTGATAATGCTGGATCAACAACAACATTAACTAATATTTTATCTCTAAAAAAATAAAGACAAATTACTTTTATAATAATTTCAAGACTAAGTACATCATACTTGTCCATTTTTAAAATATCATGGGCGCTAATTTGTGGAGGAATATACAAAATAAGAGCATCTGGAGCAGTAGGGTCATGTAAAGGTCGACGTAAGCCATCACGACGAACACCTAATGCTCTACTGTAACTGGTACCACTCCAATTCGCTATTGGCACTTTAAACGGCTTTGATAATATATTTCTTATATTTTGTTCCTTAAAAAAAAACATAAATTTAAATAATTTCTTTAATTTTTTACTTTTACTACTATAAATATATACTGACATAAAAGGAAAGTGTCATAGATTGGTCATCTACTTTTGAATTTTGTTCAGTTTTTTGTGACTGGTCACTATATTTTACACAAGCTCTTTTAGATTGATTTGAATCACTTAAAGGTCGCTTATTGACTTGGCTTGGAGCTAAACTTCGGCGCTAAACAACCCATTAAAAAGTATCATTAATCAAATCATATAATAATAATATCATAATCTTGATTCACAAGTAGATTTATTTTTATTTTAACACATGAAATATTTAAAAGAATACAATACCTACCATGATTACTGATTAGTGTGGTTATTGAATAATGCAAAATATAAATGTAATTTCAAGATGATAAATTATTTATTAAATTGCATAGTACTTCAACTAATATGACGTAAACCAGTTATTAATATCTGTAAATAAAATCGTTAAAATAGGACAATGCATAAATTCTGATACAAGCTGATAAATACTACAGATTATTAAATAAAATTACATACCATTGTTAAATGAAAAGCGACATTCAATATTCAATCGATTTGATTCAGTCCATGATATTACCAAAGTTCACTAAATGACTTATTGAATTTAAAACTTACCTGTCTAGTCTATTTAATTTTTAGTATTAGTATTGTTATTATTATTATCCTATACCTATCAATACAATGATAAAATTTATATTTTCCCGCGCTACAAGACATGGATAATAAACACAAGATAATAACCACGGACTAAGATATAATCACAGAACAATATAATGGACTGGAAACCATAGACCTTATACTCATAAGGTCTATGCTGGAAACGAGCCTCTTATCACGGCCACAAATGTATGTATAAGAGGTAAAGTGCGGGGGGTCGCTATGTGTTCTTGAAGTTTTCAGCGCCATCTGTTGACTAAATATTTATTCTTTATACACATTACACTCGATGTCATTTTCAAACTGAATTTTTTTGTAAAAAATTAATTCAACCTCATATCATAATATGTCTAATAGAAAAATAAATTATTTATTAGAAATAATATAAAATAGACTTGGTAGTACAGGCTGTCAGCCGTCAGGTTCATAATAGTATTTCACTTTTTCCTATACAATGATTTTACATCATTGAATTCAAATTTGACACATCCATTACAGTAACCCCTCTAGACACTGTTAACTACTTATGTTAATAAATATATCAATATTACCAATAACAATTTTTTTATTTTCAGGTATTTACAAGTTTCGAATATTTATTTTTACTTGCATTTTTTTTTATTTGGTTTGAGTTTATCATATGCGTATATTGTCGCAATCTCATAATAATATATTGAGATATTATGAACATTAGTACTTCACTTTTATGATGAGTACATGGAAAATCTATTGGATCATAATTTTCCAWAAAATGATCAATAGTTAAATCGAAAACATCAATGTTTTCAGAAAATTTAAAAAAAAATGAATTTTCGACATTTGACAATATGTCAATATTTTGAATATGAATTTATTAGGATGAGTCAAACCACCTCTTAATTTCAAGTTTATAAGGGCAGTTTCTGGTTTTTCTGAATAACATCTTTTACCTAAAAACAAACAAAATTCTAACAGTTTATCTAGATAAAATGTATGTATAGACACATTACCTATTACTGCAGTCCTGCATACATCACATGTAATAGATTTTGAGAAACTTTTTGTGATATATCCACATATATAATAAATTACACAATATTTTATGCCAGCTTTATAATAATTATGAATGTCTTCATCAAAAACAGTATTTATACCTATCTGTTTTTTTACAGCTAACGAATCCAATTTACTTTTCAATGAGTTAAGAACACGATTTAAGATATACCTTAAATCGTGGTTAAGATTAAGAACACAGTCTGTTACCAGTGACATCTTTTGGTGGCCGACCATGTCGTTTCCAGTCCATTATATTTATATCTTAGATCATATACTATAGTAAATGATCTAAGATTTATATCTTAGTCCGTGATAATAACACAGAATAGATTAAATTTAATATAATAATATTCTGTGACAATAATACGTCCTGTTCTATTATAATACAGAATAACCACAGAATCGGTGAAAAATTTCTCGATGTATTCAAAAGTGTTTCGAGACCTAAAAAACACACGCACGTCGTCATTGTAGTCATTATATTCATTATTCATCACTATGCTTAGAATCTAACATAAATATAGAAACAACTAAATAAGAAAAAAATGCATGAATATTTTGATTTTGATGATAAATTGAATTTCAGTGTTTAAAGTAGGATCGAAAAATGAGTCAAATGTAAAGGAACATGACATAACATGTTTATAAAAATGTTCAGTAGGTAATAATAATTATTAAAATTTTTATAACATTACAATTATTGTAATGTTATAAAAATTTGAAATTATGAAATTGGAAATTATCAACAAAAATATCATTATCAAAAATATAAATAACTGTTACAAGTTTTTAATTTGTAAGTTTAAACTTAGTGAGCTCGTATTTGTAGTCGTAAATTTATCGTTTTATAAATACTTTTATATGTATATTTTATATGTATTAACTTACTATATGTCTATATAGGTTTTACGTATACTCAAAAACTCGAAGTTGACAAACAAAACCAGATAATAGTATTAGGATAAAAGCAATGGCTTTTTGTTTATTGCATTCGCTCAAAAATCGAGCAGGGTCAAACTTCGGAGAAATTATCTAAATCACAAACAAGTTTTGAAGGTATTAATTGGTTATTTGATTACACTGACACTATTTGCTTAGGAAAAATGGTTATATTTATTCGACCTTCTGGCGTCTACTGTTTAATCAGCAATTCAGCATATTATCGAATATCGATTTCGCTGGACATATGACACATCACATACCCCATCGTGTAATACATGTCTAAATTGTAAAATCTTAAATTAAAATGTATAAACGTAAACGTTATTACTTTTGAATAATACGATTATAATTATTTTATAATTATTTCGTAAAATTTGGACTATACAATCAGGCCCGGATTGAGCCGGCGAGCTACCGAGAAAATCTCGGTGGACCGTGGGCCGCGTAAAAATTTATATTATCCATATTATCTATCTTATATTTTGCGTTTTTTTTAATAATATAACTGAAGTATACTAAGTAACTTAATATAATGTWCCTATTGAATAGGTAATTTGTAAATGTGCTTTAGAGAAACAATTATTATTTAAAGCACATATACTAAAAGTAAAAAGAGTGATCATAAAAAATGTTTTTCGAATGGGCCGATACTTTGTTGAGGGCCGGTAGAAATTTAAAATCTCGGCGGGCCGAAAAGTCTCTATCCGGTGCTGTATACAATTCACAATATGTTAATATATTCAACCTAATATACATATTAATATCATAATTAATTATTTATTACTATAAAGTTGTCTAAATTATTCTAAAAAAGACTTAGATTTTTAAATATAAACACTGAGGATGTAGAAAATTCAGAAGATTATTAGTTGATTTCAGCAATCATTTAATTTAAATATATATTGATACCACTTGGAATGTTATTTAATCTAAACATCAAATTTTAATTTACATAATTATGTAAATACTGGACTGTTTTGTAACTTCTTATGCTAAAACTTTTTGGTAGACTACCGGCTCCACCAATAACAATTTGACAAACAAATCAATTGATTAAATTTACAAAGTCATTCAACATTTCAACATGCATGCTCACAGTATTTTTTTAAAATTAAAATCTGATTTTTAAATTCTCTAACATATTTACTAAAAGACTATTTTAAGATTCTTTAGGTTTGTTGTACTCTTGTAGTCTTGTACAACTTTAAAAATGTTCTTTGAAGATAAAAACTTTTATTTTTCGAATGAGATAGCACTTTAATTATTAAGTAATTTTTCTAAAAATGTTGAGGTATTACAATAAAAATATGAACAATATTAATTTAATTAAGCATACTAATTATGATAAATTGGGAAGGTAGGGGCATTGGATGCATTGAAAATGTTAGTGATTTTAACATAAATCAACAGATATAAGTTATTTGTAAATATCAGATTACTTTAATTGAGGAACAAAAAATTGATTCTTTTAATAAACATAATTTATTTAGAATACAAATGATACAATATAAATACAAAACAAATATTTGTTAATTTAATAATAATAACCTTAATAGGTTGGTAGGTACTCTTTGTAGTATATGTTACAAAAAGAAAAAATTTCTTATAATTATTTATGTTAAAAGCATTAAAATTCGATTAAAAACAATTATTTATTTTTGTATTTCATTAACTTAATGAGTTATTACTTTATTAACTTTTGTCGTCATCATCATCATCAGACCACCATATCACTGAATCGTCCATTTTATTGTTTATAGGTTGAATATTGGTTATTGTTTTTGAATGTATTTCAGGTGTTACTAATACCTTAGGTGTTAAAGTTGACTTTTCATTTTGCTGACATCCAGTGTCTTTCTTCAATTTGGTTGCAGTTGTTACAGTAAAATTCTTACATTGTTTTATTTCTGACATAATGCAATTATTGTTATTAGAACTTGCTGATAGCAGAGAAGAGTCACTTTTACTCATCAAAGAACTACTAGTAGAGTAAACATTTTGTTTTGCTATTGGAGTAATACTATTAGAACTATTAAAACTATTTTTTAATTTTTGAGTTTCTATTTCTGAATCATCGCTAAAGCAAATATTTTCAGAGTAGTTGGAGGTGGAGGAAAATTCATTGGCAGAACTATAAGACAGATTTGTATTTAAATCATCAATAATACTTAAGTCACAGGAGCTTGAAACTAGATTACTTTCTAAAAATACCATATTACTTGGTTCCTTAGGTATAAAAATATTTTTCTAAAAAAATAAAAACAAAAATTAGAATTCATAAATAATGTCAAGTTAATAAATTGCCTAGACTATTTGTAATACAATTTTAATAAAAAATAAAAATGTAAAATTAAATTTTAACTTACCAAGTATTGTAATTCCATTGGATTGAAATTTGAATAATAATGCTTTTGGTACAGTGGAATGTCTAAAAAAAAATATGCATTTTAGTTAACATTTTACAATTGTAATAATAATTATTATTAAATTACCTTCAAAAAATTTTTTTGAGCGAACATTTTTTAATAACTTTTTTAGTGGTATATACAAATTATTCACTTTATTGTATACAACTAATTCGCCTGAGTAAACATTATTTTTAACAGATTGAGGAGTAAAACTGAAACTTATTTCACCATACTGATTTTTCTTTATCAAGATTGTGATTGCAGTTTTTAAATCATCATCATCCAAACAAAGATCTATTTGAATATAATAAGTAGGAAGTATGAGCTGCAAAAATTTGGGCGGACATGTTCTCAACTCAAATATGCTGTCTTTGTCGGTAAATCTCTAAATAAAAATATACATCATTTAAAATCAATAACAGAAGAATTATTCACTCGAAAAAATATAAAATACCTGAGAGTCGATTAAATAAACTTCAGGACAAAAGTTATTATAATTATGGCAGTTTGATATGATACCGCGCGCCCACAAACTGAGGTTTTTGTCAACTTGAACAATTACTACCTGCAAATAAAAATATGTTTAATACTTAATGTTATATTTCAAATATATATAGGTAATATATTTATTAATAATAGGTATGTATTAAATAACTACTAACCTTCCCAAATTCAATAATAGGATAGTCAAATTTTTGAAACCAGTCTGTACAATCGTTAAAACATATAAGTTGTTTATAATAGTTTTGGAAGTATTCAGTTGAACCACTATTAAATCTTTCTACAGCAACAAATAATCCACATTCTTTGTCAATTTGGCTAATTATATTTACATTGTAAGCTGTGTTCATCTCCATTTTAAGTTAATAGATTGCAGGTACTCTAAACATTAAAAATTAACAATAAATTATTTAGTTTTAAAATATCACTTTGTAAAATGAAAACTCATTTTATTTACATATTATGTTAATCCGCACGGATTTTCAAATTATGATGACTTTAATTCTAGGTCCAGGAATTCATGTGAGATAATCTCAAGAACTAAGTTTGTTCTCACTTCAAAGTGCATCATTAAGATCTTTCAGTCTTCAGCTGATGTTGATGAATAGTAGTTAATCAGAGGTCACAAACCACAACTGACAACAGTGAACAGTTTAACTGAAAATTTTATTACGAGTTATTATTAAGATTAAAATATCGAATGCTTGAACCACAGAAGCATAGCATAGTAAATTTAATACTATAATAAAATAATCATTATTTTATATAATCTGTGATAAGATATTAAATGGTTGCCGGGAGTGATCAGAAACCACAATCTCATTGACGTAATATTTTTTAGCTTATAAATAAAACGGCAAAAATTGGTTTTTATCGGGGCTGCAAGTCCTCTACGGGCTCTACGGCTAATGGGCAATGGCCCATGGCAATGGCCCATTAGTAATGCCGGACACAGTCACGATAGCGACAGTTGTAGCTACTCGTGAGTCGTGACAGTGTGACACTCTGTATACCATAGACATATAATATTATAAAGAGACGAACTGCGCTTAGAGAGAGAGGTGTCAAGCCATCATTGTTAAAGAGAGAAAGATATATATACAAGTTGGCATAGAGTAAACGACATAATATGTAACTTTATTATTCCATATAAAAATTATAGTGATTATTGATTACAATTTACAATCAAAATAAATGTAAACATTAAATAAAMATATAAAATAATTTAATAATACAAATTTAAAAAAAAATTATAATCGTTCCAATATTGTATATTTGTATGTGCTGTGTAAGTAATAACTAGTAATTACTAATTATTAATTAATAACATAATATTATAAAATATAAATTATAATTGTCAACATCAATGTTTAATGTTAGTATAATTATAGCATTATTAATCATACTTGTTCTGTGCTTGTAGTAAGGTAAAAAATAATTTGCAATGTTTAAATACTATTATAATATAGGTAGGTGCACTTCCTATGCTGCAATGTAAAAAAYGAATAAGGTGCTCTGATTGGTCTCCACCCAAATCAGTGTAGCCACAAAAGTAGTAAAATATAATGGTAAATTATTGTCTACAAAAAACATATTATTTTAAATTTTTCACAATATCAAACAATTTATTAACAATTAAAAATGATACAAATTACAATATTGAATATAACTAAATTTTACACTTTACACATAACTTACAGATTTTATTATAAACAATTAAAAGTAAATACATATAATAAATTATAAACATGGAAATATACAAATGGMTTTCTTAATAACTAAAATAATAAGGTAAGTACTAATAATTTATTCATAAATGATTTAATATACATAACTTTCTATTTTTTTTTTCTGATATTAAATTCCTATTTAAAAATTTAATAGCAGCATGAATTCTAAATCTTATAAAATAATTAATTAAATATTCTTTATTAAATAGGGGACATGAATGATTAAATACAATATTAGTCATACTTAGCTTTAACCTTATACCTAGGTACTTCCTTGTCAATAGATACATGTGGAAATCTATGAATAAAAATATCTTACAACTTATCTATATATTCGTAAAATGCATGTTGTGGCATCATTAAATTTCCAAACATTGATTTTTCTGTATTTTCATAAGYTTTGAAATAACAAAGTAAGAAAGAGTCGTCCAATTTTTTTTTTTTTGATTTTGCATATTGAATATAAACAACGCAAGTATGATTTTCAATGCATTTCTTTATTAAAAACCCACAGACATAAATGAAAGCATTTTTTTCAGGCATTGATAAATTCCTATAATCCGGAGTGTTTATTGTTAATGTATTTTTTTAAAATTTAAATGGATTATTATCTCGAAAAATTAGTTTAAGGTTTTCATCATTAATAGGGTCTGTATTCATTTTTGATAAAATTTCATCTAAGATTGCTATACAATTTGCATTGTCTKAGTGACTAAAATAATTTGAAAAAAAATTTTGTTTAAATGACCAGATAAATTGTATTGGAGTTGGATTTATGTTATTGCCATTATGTTGGGTGCGAAACGTGCCAAATAAATTTTCTAAACAGTCTTGGTTGATTCGATTTCTATATAAAACATAATTTTCATCAGTATTTGTAAATTTTAATGAATCCCACAATGTAAATAAACCTGAGATTGAAATTAACCAACCTCTGATAAATTTAATTTTGTTTGTCACTTCAACATTTGTTTTTTTGTTAAATACCTGTAATTTTTTAAAAAAGTTTTCCATGTATTTTAAATTTAAATGTGATATTTGAGCATCCGTATTTTTAACAGGTTTGTTTTGTCGGATATCACTATCAGGTGAGCCACCAGTATACGATATGTTTCAAATATTTTTAATCCATCAAATGGTCACATTGATTCTGGCGGAGATTTTTATCAAGGCATTTTTTTGTTTACGTCTCGGTGCACAATCTGTTTTCATATAATCTGTGATACAACTATACAAGCACTATAAAAAAAAAAAAAATAGGACTAGACAGACAGATAATATTATTTATTTTATTATTTTTGTCATATCTCATCTCACGTCAGATATTTAGTAAGTATTAACATTATTAACTAACATTTTGGTTAATATATTAAATTTTAAACCTGTTGTTCGTTATACTATTTTTAAAACTAATGCAATAATCAAATAAAGATTAAAAGAATGTCTTGGTTGGCAAAAATGTTTAGTTTAATTATTTAATTTTCTATTCAAATTTTGTTAAAATATTAACCAAATATAAATAGTTGTTTTTAAGTTTAAAGATATTAGTGGGAAAAGCCTAAGCCTAAGCCATCTTACAAACGGTTTTTCTTTTATTTATTTGTAAATTTTAGTTTTATAATTTGTATAATAATTGTAAATATTAAATAATATGTTTGTATGTTACAGATAGTTATACCTACTTACTAAAATGTCTGAAAGAAAAGTGTTAAATAAATACTATCCCCCAGATTTTGATCCTTCAAAAATCCCACGTATGAAACTTCCAAAAAATAGACAGTATACTGTACGTCTTATGGCACCATTCAACATGCGATGTAAGACATGCGGTGAATACATTTATAAAGGAAAAAAATTTAATGCTCGAAAAGAAGATGCTGAAAATGAAGATTATTTAGGTATACGTATTTACCGGTTTTACATAAAATGCACTAGGTGCTTACAAGAAATATCTTTTAAAACTGACCCACGTAACACAGACTACGAAATAGAAGAAGGAGCTACTCGAAATTTCATGGCTCTAAAACTTGCCCAAGAACAAGAAAAGAGAGAAGTAGATGCTGAAAAAGAAGAAGAAGCTACAAATCCTATGAAATTATTAGAGAATCGTACTCAACAATCTAAACAGGAAATTGAATTAATGGAATCCCTTGAAGAGCTAAGAGATTTAAATAGACGTCAAGGTAACGTGGATTATGATTCAATGTTATTAAAGTACAACCCTGCGGAATTAAAGGAGCAAATTAAACGGATGCAAGAAGAAGAAGATGAAAATACAGTAAAAAAATTGATGGGACTTAAGCGTAAGATTTCCGAAGATGAAGATGAAGAGGTAATAGAATCTGAAGAGTTAGTAGAAACCGAAGATAATATAACTAAAAGTAAAATAAAAAATGTAATCACTATAGCAGCACAGTCTAATGTGAATAAAAAGGTTTCCAAACTCAATCTTTCGAACTTAGTTAAAGTTAACAATGTTACAAGTACCAACAAACCAAAAGAATCTTGTAATTCATTATCATTAATTGGCAATTATTCCAGTAGTGATGATTCTAACTAGTCTAAAAATAAATTTGAATTCTAAATCGAAGTTTAAAAGTTTTTTTTTTAAAGTATTTAACAATTTAATGTATACATTTTATTTAAATAATACATTTTCTTAAAACTGAGTAAATACTGTTTGCTTTTTCATTTTACTGAATCCTTTATTCGTCTCATAAAATACTTGGCATATAATAAGATTAAATCTAATGTACAATTTTTTACTCTAGAATTTATAAATAATCATAAAAAAAAGGGGACAAGGAGTTGAGCTCTGCTCTATTGTAGGTGTCAAGCGTACCTTGACAATGAGTATATCATATCCTAGACTATAAACTATAGACACCTATAAATGCTTCCGTTATCTCAAGTTTAAATTTTAATGTTATGGTTTCACAATAAACAGATATAATAATATGCGACAAATGTGACTGGTGTCTTGTCATCAAGTGTAATAAACACGCAATAAGGTCTTTTGTTTTCACAGATATCTAGAGTACAGTGACCTATAATTGATTCCTATTCGATATCGTTTTAAACACATGACATAGAGAAGATATGGTCTTTACATTAGGCTATAATAGTTTTTAACAATTTTAATGGAGAAACTTAACACTTTAGTGTTTCACACCGTCATCTTAATTCTTAGATATAATTATAGTTTCTGCGAAAGGTATGTAGAATAAGGAGACCCATAGAGAAATATGTAAAGGAGACTATACTCATACGAACTAATGGTAAATTACTTAATAATATAAGTTCAAATACAGCTAACAGGTGGTACGGACCCCGCGTGAAATAACGACCAGAAATGAGTTATACGATTTAAGTGCAAGTAAATATTCATTTTTCTTTTGTGAAATTCCGGACATAATGATCCCGATGGCCCCATAGGGCATATACCGTCCTGTCTCCTATACAATCGTTAATCGGCTATCAACACGATTATAAAGATTCTTTATAATCGTGGCTACCAAGCATGACTGCATGAGTGTCGACAGTGTCGTTCATAGAATAAAGATAATTATATGCATAATTTATTATTTATATTTACATATGTTTCTATATTGTGTTGCTGATAAGTTTGGTTTCTTATCTGTTTTAATATTTTGGTTTACTTCATTTTACACGATGACAGTAAGTTGTTACTCTCGCAATAGTCGCTATCGTGATAGTGCTATCGAATACTATCGCCATCGCCGCGTGAACACGACAGCCTGCTGCTGTTCAAATAAATTATATCCCACGGTATACTGGTATTTGTATTAGAATAAATTATTAATAAACTAACAATTTTTCTTGCATAAACCATATATAAAAACTTAACTCCACTCAAAATCTGTATAAAATAATAATTGTTTTTAAAGATTATTAAGTTTAAACATTATAATATTATAATTATAAGTACCTATAACAGTATAATATATATAATACTAATCTTCAATTGCTTATCATCAATAATATAAAACATAAACATTCACCTTTTAGATAAGGATGGCGGCCATTTTACTGGCGACAATAATAATATCGAAGTTGGCTATCTAGTATTTTTATATATCTGTGGTGTCAGTCTGTAAGTTGTTCTTATATATTATTATAATTATATTATACTTATCTATGGTTACTACCACGATTTAAGACATACAGGTTGCACAACGAAGACAATTAATATTGTGACTCAAGAACAACCATAGATAATATTATTATAGTTATTTAGTAACTATCAGGGGTACGACACTCTGTGTATTGGCAAAATCGGGTGACTGTGGCCTTGAACACGGTCTCCGGGAGGGCGTGGCATACGTTATCAATTAAATATATCATATCAATATCACCGCTGAACATYGATTACCACAAAACGATATTTGTAGTTTGTATAGTACAGTACTTAGTAATTTTACCAAGTTTGAATGTTTTAGCATTAAAATGTAAAATTAATTATTTAATCAGGGCCGGCGTTAGGGGGAGGCAAAAACGGGGCATTTGTCCAGGACCTCGTGATTAAATATATTTTGTATAAAAATCTTCAATAAAATAAAACAAGAATATAAGTAATATTAAATTAAATATGTATAATATTTTGAAAAGCAACGGGGTGCGGTAAAATTACAAAACCTTTGTATACCTTAATATATATTTTGGAAGTTGTCTGTTTACTCGTATGATATGATATGTAAGTTGACGTATTACACATACGTTTAAAAGTAATTATTGAACAGTTGAAAATTGATAATCGCTATTTCCCTWAAGTATTTTTTAATACCATTAAACATCATAGATGTAACTAGGGTCAACATTTTGGAAGAGCTTAACTCTTTAATATATTAAATTTAATTATTAAARAAATTGTTTTATTTGGGACATGTATTTTTGATAATTTTTCGTTTTTAATTACACCTATAGYCTATAAWTTATAGATAACTATAGTTATTGCCTTATTGGTTAAATAAATTAAATACGTTTTGCACAGGCCCTCGCAAAAGGTAGCGCTGGCCCTGTATTTAATTAATAACTCTAATGAAAAAAATATTAAAATACTTTAATTAATGGCTTATGTAATAACAGGATATTGAATTTAGAATAGAATACTAGGTTTAAAGAACTAACATATTATAAATTTAGTTTGGGATAATGGCCCACATTTGTTAGGGCACACCAGACACTTTACAACCATAATGAAAATTATTAATTACAAAAAAAATTGAATAATAAATTAGTAAGTAATAATACTAATAACATATGAAAACGCTACAACTACGGATTACGGGATACAGAATATACAGCCATACAGGACAGGACGTGGTTAATGCCGCCTGGCCATTGCGTTGTATCCGTTTTTAAAATTTCGTAACAAAGAGGGATACACGTTGCCAACATCCTATCAGATTACGGATACGGTACAATTTTTAGAGCCCAATACTTCATACCGTAGGGATACGTAAACCCGCACAGCTGATCGACTGTCTATTCTATATTGTTCTGTGGTAATTATCGACGACCTATCGTGAGAGCAACTCTCGCACTATCATACATGCGTGATAGTTGAGAGCTACTATCACGATAGCGACTCTTGCGAGAGGAACTATCATCGTGTGGACCCGGTTTAAATATGAAATGAATTTTTCGTGAAATGTTTAGTTTTTAAACAAATTGTTTATAATAACTGTATTTTCAGTAATGTTTACTTAAAATGATATCTTTTAATATATTTGAAATAATATTATTTTTTGACTATGATTTATGGCAATAAATGATAGTGATCTGAAGGTTTTAAATAAAAATTTTTTTTTAAAAATCAATTGAAATCATTACGTTCATGTAATTAATTAGGTACAAAAAAATTATTAAAAGAATAATACAATTAGAAAATCAGGTTGGTGAATAGTTATTGAATAATTAATTAAGTTTATAAGAATGAAAAACAACATAATATTCTAAATAAAAATGATTAATATTAATGTGTTATTTACCTATATATTAATATATTATATATTTTTTAGAATTTCATAATGGAAAAAATTTCTCTATTCGAGTCTTTTAATATCAATATAAAAAATAAACAAGTCAATGAAAATGATTATAACAATATTATGGATTTATTGAATGAATTATCTGCACTTGACCCAAAATGTAAGTACTTATCACAAATATTTAATGTATTACAGCTTTCACAAATTTCAAAAATGATTCTAACAATTTTAAATTTACTTAATTCTTTTTATAAATAGTCATTTTATTTTTATTAGTCAATATTGTGCGTTAATCCCAATTTTTGAGTTTTTTACAAGTATTACATAAATACTATCCCTGAAATAATCAATCATGTGAATTAAGATTCCTCAAACATCTAAACATAAAATATAAATTTGATGACTATTTTTAGGTTTGTTGGCAGATGATTATGAAAAATTAATTAAATATTTGCCTTTATCACCCAATGTTTACGGCAATCAAGTTTTAGCTGCTGGGTGTAATGTGATTGCTTCATTATGTTCAGATGACTTAGCGAGACATTATTTTGGAGAAAAAATAACCATGTCTACTGTAAATATATTAAAATCACTTACAAGTCGTATTAATAAAGATAAATATATTCAAGAATGTCTCCTTCAGACATGTCGTGCAATTGGAAATCTTTGTTATTACCATGGTAAATAATAACATTAGTTTCAGTTACAAGTGTTCACATTCATTAATGCATAAAGCATAATATTATGTAGTCATATATGAAATAAATATTATTCTCAATGTAATATGTATATTTAATATTAAAATTAAACATCAGGAAATTCATAACTACCATAAACCAAGAGGATTATATATATTTTTTTGTAGGTAGTCACTTACCAGTTTATAACTAATATTAAAAAGTATATTTTTCAAGTTTCTTTTGAATGAAAACAAATTTGTCTGCTTATAACAACTTAATATTAATTATACAATATGCATCTAAATGTAATCAAGCACTTAAAAAGAAAAACTTAAAAACATTTATTTCAAAATATTTTTAGAGGAAAATACCAAGTGTGCATTAAAGGAAGGATGTCTTTTAATTACGATTGAAGTTTTGAAAACAAACATTAATGAAAACATTCAACCTGTTATCATTGGATTATTATTAAATTTAACTCATTTGAATGACTACAATTACAAGGTTCATATAAATAATACATAATAATCTATTAATATATTAGACAAATTTGTATAACACTTTTTCACAGTTTCAGGATAACATGATTGAAGAATTAAATTTTTATGGAATTCAATATATGGAATATAAGAACAATAACCATAGATTTTATATAAACTTGGTGTCAGTAATGATCAATATTGTTAGAAAGTCCTCAAGTAACACTACAATAACAGACTTTGAAAAATGTTATTTTATTGATCGTTTATTGGAAACATATAATATGCAAATCAATGTTACTTCAATTTGTATTAAATTCATCAAACAAGTCTCTAAAACTCATAGTAAATGCATAAAATACTGAACTTAAATTGACTCATTAACATAAATTGTATTAAAAAATAAAAATATTTTTAGATGTTTATAATTGGATATTGAAAGAAAAATATAAAGTGTTAATAGAAGTATTGGATAAATATGAAGAAAATCAAGAAGAAGAACCAAAACGTATTGTTAAAAAAATATGTGATATTATAATATTGCTTTCCAATGATGGTATGGACTACTTATTGAATTTTTAACTACAATATATTATAATATTAATATTAATTTTTCTGTGAATTTGGCTTGTGTCTTATTGAATTTGGAGTTGAGCAAAATTTGATAAAATTAAGTCTAATAGTAGGCTTGTTTGTCAAATTCATTTTACTAGAGGTCAATAAAATTTACAGTGCAAGTCAATTGACTAATGTGCTAATCTAATTATTTAATGATACTATTTATAAAGTTAGAAAATCAGTTAAAAATAAAAAGTACAAATTAATTTTGAGGCATTAATACATTTTACCTTTAATATATTAAAATTATTATACATAATATTTATCATGGTAATTGCCGTAAAAACATATACATTGTAAAGTTAGATTTTAATTTTTGATGAATTATCTCTCATAAATTTAAATATCTTTTTATTTAGATGGTGCAATGGAAAAAAATAAACAACTTGATGTTTTATATTTAGTAGAATGGCTACTGAAAAAACTACATTCTAATAATTTGTACGTTAAGTTGTCGGCTGTAAGATCATTAGCGAATTTTAGTAGATATAGTAAGTTAATATTAATTTTTAGTAAAAATTAAAATATTATAAAATACAGCATTGTAATACTATAGAATATGAACCAAATCATTTAACCATAAGTCCTGCAAAAACTATAATGAAACAAATAACATGGTTTATAAATACTTTGGACAAATCAATCAAGGATAACAATTCATTGATGGAAGTATCTATACTCTGTTTGTTCAAGTATGTTTTAAAAGTTATTTATTTATTTTAAAATTGACTTAAATAATCACAGTTGATTTATTTTAAAGGAATCTTTTATATGTTACAAATTTCAAGTCTATGGATGAGAATTGTACAGATAAATTGATCAAAACCACTATTGATGTTTTAAGCCACACTACATTTAATTCAATAGTAATGAAAGGCATGGACATAATAAGATGTATCATAAAAAAAGGTGAGTGAGTACTAACCTTTCAATAGTTGTTGAGTGGGTCATTATAATGAATCTATTAAATCTGAATTGAATGATTTAAAATCATTGTGTAAGGAAAATTTTTTTTTAATAATAATTTTAAAAAAAATAAAGAAATAGTAATTTTTTTATACCTGTAATTAGCTCAAAAAGAATCGTATAATTGATCATAATGATTATATACAAATTCAGTGACAATATCTTGTATTAACAGTTATTTTTTGAAATAAACCAAAAACCAAATCGATTTTGCTTGAAAATTTCTGTTTTTCCTTAAAAAAAAATTTTTCCGACTAAAAAACTACTGAGAATTGTTAATTTTAACTTCTTGAATGCACATAGATTCAATTTCCACCAGAAACGTGACTGAAGTTAAACATAAACATTATTTATTTTTACTACTTCTTATGTTCTTCATTATATACGTTATTGTAAAAACCACATAAAATATTAGTTTTCTTTAATTTTTATTGTTTTAATTTTTTATACATGTTACAATGTCATTGGCTTTGGTTTGAGGGGTCTGCCATATTTTGCTTATTGCTACACAATATACATTTTTAAAATGGTCCTTTAGATACTTTTAAACTTTCTATGTTAATAATTTATTAAAAAATATTTATAAAATTGTTTTATACACACAATTGTCGAGGTATGTATAATCTTAGATGAATTGAATAATATTTTAACCAATGATGAACCAGACTCACTACGATTCTAATTACAGTCAAATTAATCTAACCACACTGAAATGTTTTTATGGATGTCGATTTATGCGTGTTAGGTATGTTAGTTCGAAAAATGCATTATAATTTATTAGTAATGTCAAATTACATTACGATTATAAAAGTTATTTTAAACATTAATTAATATGTTTATACAGTATTAGTACATTATAATTGTCTAATTTTAGGGAATAATAGAAAATGTTTATCATATTTTTATTTTTATTAGGTGGCATTGGTCAAAAACAACTTGTTTTGTACAAAAATTCAACTTTTATCAAATTAGTAACTACTCATTGTAATAGTGATGATGAAGACATTCAAACATTAGCCAAAAAATTACTTTATTCAATTAACGAGGATATAACTGAATCTGAAGTCGTTGGATTAAATACAATGGAAGACAATGTACAAATTAAAGAAAAAATTTGAAAACCGCGTTCAAAAATATTATGCAATAATGAATACGATTGAAAAATCTGGTGCTAGTCTTGTATTTAATAAAATAGTAATTACCAAATATTATTAATCTACTTTCTAATGAATATTAACTCAATATTTTTATTTTTTTGTTTAGTGTATTGTGCCGGTTAATACATTGTAGTMATATACAATGTGTATAAATGAAACAAATTTTCAAGATATTGAAATAATATTATCATAGAAAAATGTAATAGGTGTTAGTTATTAGCTGTTATAGTTACAATTAACATTGTTAAAAATAACATATTGGAAGACAACTTTTTGTTATAGGTTGCATTATTATAAGAAAAGTATCATTTTTTTTTACTATAAATATAAATTAAAATGTATTACATTTAATTAATAGTTAGCACCAAGTAATATAATGCCATAATAATGGTGATAGGTGATAGCTATTTTATATTTTAGAATATATTTCACATTCATTTGTACTTGTTTGGAGCTTTTCTATAACAATTTTTTTTATCATTATTGGTGCATATATGAGGCTAGGCTGTTAACCATATTCCTTGAAAAGTACAATCAACATGTTGACTTTGTTATCCTTAACAGACTATAAATAATTCTGTATGTGTAGATACATTTTTAATTTAAATTGTATTAGCAAACAGCAGTTATAAGTTGAAATATTTTACTAACATTCAATTTTAACTTAACTCCCATTTATCACATTTATTTCTACAAATATATCATATAGCCATAAATTAAAATAGTCTACCCACCTCAAAAATTATACAAATATAGAATATTTTTTTTAAAATTCAAATTGCATTGTGTGTGGGACATTAAACTTATCAGGGTAAAATAGAAGTTGGAAATTATACAAAACAAATGAAAATACCTATTTAAGTAAAAATATGTCATATTTATTTTTTATCTAATTGTAATAGCTAATAATAAAACATTACTAAATGTAAACTATGTTGTATCGCTTACATGAAACAATAAATTAAACAATGTATTTTAAGTTATAATACATTTTTAAGATTTAAAATAATACATAATATTTGTATTGTAAGATGAGTATAATTGCGTTTATGTTATAATTGTTTATTATTTAAATATTTGAGAAATCTTCAATGTCCCACTCTTCAAAATTTTCACTCATACTTATATTTCTTCTTAACTATAAGACCTGAAACAAAATAATGAAACATTAAATAGTTTTCACAAAACAAAAATTTTTAAGACAAAATAAAAGTATATTATATTATATAAAATTAATAATTTGTCTTAAGCGAAAAACTTTTTAGATCAACTGTAGATTTTCAATTGGTCTAGGTACATTTTCATACAGCTGCGTAGATATTGTATTTATCCTAAAATTAAAATTAAAAAAACTTTTATAAATTGTTTATTTAATAAAACAATGATATTTTAGGATGCATACCATAACACAACTGTCATTGGTTAAGTATTAACATTTTCACACGTCATCTTATTCTGGGTTATTCTAATCATGCGGATATGAATAATTCGTGAATAAAGTGATAGTTTTCAATGAATTGAAAACGCATAGCACTTAAATGATCTTGAAAGAGTATTATTGAAGGATACTTGGCAATGAGAGAAATGTTGATTGCAGTGATTATTTGGTGTTAATAGAAGGAATGTTCAATAAGAATTTGTTGATAGTAGTAATGCTGAAYGTAGATATGTTGATTGCAGGTGTGTTGATAGAAGTWATGTTGAAYGTMGATATGTTGATTGCAGGTGTGTTTATAGAAGTAATGTTGATTGCAGATATGTTGATAGAAGAAATGCAGAATGGATGTTGATAGATGTATCGGAGTTGCTCATTAAAAATGTTGATTGAAATAAAATTGTGGGACATCAAAAATGATCAGACAGCGCTATGAAAATGATGCAAGTATAACTCTGCCAACAAGTCAGCAGCCTGTTGACTGGACAGTAGACTAACCTGTCAAATTCTCGTTGCTAGAATTACAACGATCAATATGACAAAAAGAAAAAATTCTTGCCTAAAAATATTATTTATTGACTAAACAAGTAAATTAAATAGAAAAAAAAATAAATACATTTGTTATGAGTTTGGACAGTGTTATTATTTGAATACAAAAATATATTTTTTTAAACTATCTGCTTGAAAAAAGATCAGCAAAGATAAAAACAGAATGAAATTATGTTTATATTATATTGTTTTTGTATTTAAAATGATTGATTATTATATTAGTATAGTTAAGTAATAATAAAAGTAAAGTAAAAAAAAAAAAAACATCTAGGATACAATTTTGCGTTAAAAATATACAGATTTAAACGTGTTAAATATTAATGTTTTATTTAAAACTTTCTTTGTACTATTTAATTTCTACAGATTTCTAAGACCTTTTTTTTGTTCAATGCAAGTATAATTAGACATTCTATCTTATAAATAATTATTGAGATTTAAACTAGTCAAACAATTGTTAAGGTTTTATCTTCAATATTAACTAACCTCGTTATTCACTGCTATTACTATTAGGAGTATCGTCATGTTTAGCTTGATTTTTCTTTTTCATGGTACGTAATGCCTTTTCTCTTAAACGTTGTTCCGATTCATCTCCAGATTTGGCATCAGAACCCTAATATATTATAACAGAACAAAATATTATTAAAAACTTTAATACATAAGTATAGTTTGTATAAAAATGTTATTTACACTTTCTTCAGTCTTGCGTTTCTTATGTTTTTTGTGTTTCTTATGCTTCTTATGTTTTTTATGTTTCTTGTCTTTTTTCTTTTTTTTGTCATCTCTGTCACTTTCCTGTAATAAATAATATATACAATGAAAAAAATACAAATTTTAAACTTAATTAGAAATCTAAATTACACATACTTCTGAACTTGAACTGGACGATCTCTTTTTACGTTTCTTTTTTTTCTTAGAATCATCATCTTCAGATGAAGTAGAATCCTTGAGTTTCCGTTTCTTAGCTTTAACTTTATCATCGTCTGAACTAGAATCTCTTTTAACTTTCTTTTTAGTCTTTTTTAATGATTCATCTGATGAAGAACTTGATTCTTCTTTTTTTTTAACTTTTGGGTTTTCGGMATCAGAAGTGTCCGATTTTTTTATAGGTTTTTTAATTTTTTCCTATTAGTCAAATAAAAATATGTATAATTCCAGGCACATACAATATAAATGGATTAAGTAAAAATAGAATGAATGTAATAATAAAAAAAATAATGAATATTTTAGTTTATAAAATATTATAAAGTTATGTATGAGTTTTTGAGAGAATGCCACATATAAAATTTACCAGAACCAATTTTGGGAATGGTTCCTAACTTTATTATGATCAGGGTGAATTTAATTAATGACCTAACAAATTTGAAGGTAAGGCCATAATGATTTATGTAATAAGTTAGAATTTTATGATATTTTCATATTAAAGAAATTAATGAGTATGTAAAATATTACAATATAAAAATTGCTCATGACTTAAATTTTGTAAATATAATAAAATTAATATATTTTTAATTATATAATAAATATTATAAAAGATCTGGCAGTATCTGTAATATTAAAAGTAACAATACTACGGTAGAAAATTTGCTGAATACAAATTACCTATTTATCAGAAATCTGACTTCTGTCTACCATCTTCTTAATCACAATACTAACAAAAATATATTGTTAATATTTTTATATCTATTTCTGTTTTTAAACTGAATCTAATCATAATACTTTATATGTTGAACAGTTTTTACGTTAAAAATATTATATTTTATAAACATGATAATTTAAATATATTTTTTAAGAATAATATACAACTTAACCCTTGCAAATAATGTTACATAATATGGAGTAATAAAATACTCACTTCTTCTTTCTTTTTAACAACAGGAGATGCTGATGATTTTCGTCTCGAACTTGATGAATTTCTAAAACAAATATTCAATAAATATATATATTTAAAGTTATTTAACTAATACATATAAAAGACAAATATTGAATTTATAAATAAGTTATTACTTGAAACACAAAGAAACTTCATTAGAATGACCATATTTAAACTAAACTTGTTTGAAGTTGAGAAACAGTTAAAATATCCCCTTTGAGCAATAAAAACGATTATAATGATTGTGTATTTGCATACAAACTATTGAATGGAACTATTAATTGCCCAAAGACATAATGGTATCAGTGCCCATCTTTTGGTTAAAAATATACATTACATATTCCAATAATAAGTAAACAAAATCTTGTATCTCAGAGCCCCAATATTTATAGAATTTTACGTTATGTGAATGAAAATCTATCTTATTTTGATTTCTGTATGATAATAGTTGTAATTTAAAAAATTTTTATTTGTTTATAATTTTATACTATATGTTGTACTTTTTACCCAAGTGAGAGTTTTTATAAATAAATACAATAAAATTACTTTTTATCAGTGTTATTTTTCTTTTCTGATGAAGGAGATTGTCCTTTTGATCTTTGTGGCTGAGATTTAGAATGTTGATCATCCCTAACACCCCTAAAAATAATAAGTATCAAATTATTTAATTTTATAAAAATATCATACAAATTATGTCTTTGGTATCAACTAAAAACTAAAAAGTATTTTCATTTGATTTATTTAAGTCCCATATTTCTGTATATAAGATTAAGAGTTACAAGTTCATAACATAACAAATTTTAAGCAGAACTGATCACATTTAGATCTTTTAGTTTAAAATTTAGAGTAAATTGACCTCTTATAAAAATTAGAGGTAACATTATTATTGAGGGCTTCACATAGGGTTTTTATTAAATTTAAATTTTATAGCAAGTTTTGTGTATTTTAAAATTTAAAATTGTTTATATATCTTAAAATACTCATAACTCATTTTTTAATATAATAAAAAGCCAATAAGAGGCCAATTAACTCTAAATTTTAAACTAATGGAGCTAAGTGTGATCTGCTGAGCATACAATTTGATGTGTTATGCACTTGTAAAACGGAGACAACACATGTGGGTGTAGCATCCTCTTAAGTATTTGTCAATTATGATGAAATAGCAAAAATATTAATTTTTTTATCTTGGGATGTATATAAATAGATATTTCTTATTGACATAAAAAGTATTGTGTAGATTAGTAAATCTATTGTCTTTGTGTTGTGGCCTGCAGGCTGTGTCGTGAGTATGTTTATTTGTGAAGCAGTATACCTACCGGCGTCATCAAAAAGTTATTTTAATTTATAATTTGATTCCTTATTTCTTTATCTTTATTTTTAAAAACATTTATAAATAGGGGAAACTACAGTTAAGCTATGCTATCCATCAAATGTCATTACCCAATATCAGCAAACTTTCTTATTGAGCTCTTAATTAAATAAAACTGTCTTATACTTACAATCTATCTTTTACTGGTTTACGTTCTGCCTTGTCATCCACTTTCTTGAAAGGTGAAGGAGTTCTAGATAAGCTTTCTTGAGGAGCCTGAAAAAAAAAAATTTAAGAACTGTAATAACATGAAATAAGAATAAGTTGAAATTACATAATATCATAATATAGTAAAATTGTCTATGACAAGTGATATAAATGTATGTATAATACCTTTGATTTTGAAGTGTTATCTTTTTTGGTAGGGGAAACAATACTGGAGCCCTTAACAATGCGTTCCCTGCTACGCGATTTTCCACTTGGTCTCCTCTAAACAATAAATAACTTATATACCTTTATATTTATAACTTAATGAAGTTAAATTGACACAAACAACTTAACTGGTATCACAAACAAGTTCTTAATTATTAATAACATACTTTAGATTTTGAACGAGATCTTGTATGTCGGCTGCCTGATCTAGATTTTCTTTCAGGACTTCTAGATTTCCTAACCATAATAAAATATACATTTTAGAATTGTTTTAAGCTATTAGATTTGGTATTTAATATTACAAATTACCTTCTACGAGGTGATGATCTTTCTTCCCTTTCTCTTTGCCTACGTCTATCACGTTCACGTTCTCTTTCACGAATTGCCCTTTCTCTATCTCTACGTTCCCGCTCACGATCACGGCGATTACGTTCTCTTTCTCTTGCCCTTTCCCTTTCTCTATCTCTATAATAACGATCACGACTTTTTTCACGATAGCGGCTACGATTGAAAGCATGCCTAGATGGACGCCTTGATCGAGAAGATGAACGATCACGACGATCCTAAAAAATTAATATATATATTTTTTGTTAGTCAACATTCAATACAAAATCAGGTACATCTAATATTTTTAAACATTTATATAAATAAATTAAAAATATTACTCTTCTATCTGTAGATTTATCTTTGTCTGATTCACTACCAGACGAATCGTCTTTATTAGTTCGGTATTGTCTTTTTTTTTGGATACTGTTTTCTTTTTTTTGAATCTCAAAATCTTTTTTACGGTCTAGAAAAACAAAGCCAACACTTTATAAAATAACTAGATCAGTTAAATGAATTTAAAATTTTTAAGAAGTACCTGGGCTTAAAGAAGAACTAGATGATGATGATGAACTACGACTTGATGAAGAAGAGTGACGCCGTTTTTTCTCCCTACGTTTAGTAGAATCCCTAGATGATGACCGTTCTTTAGGTTTAGGTTTATTATTTGTTTCTACAATTTTTTCTTTAGCAGGTGAAACACTAGAATCAAAAAAAAAAAAAAACATAAAAATAATGATAATTAGTATGAAAATAGGTAAGTATAGCATATTTATTGTTAATAAATAAATTAAGTATTTTTTAAGAGATATTTCATATACGTCTTAGATTACATTAATATGTCGTGTTCATTAACATATTGATAAGTAAGTTCTTTATGTTTTAAGCAAATTAATTCAGATATTAGAAAATTCGCTGATTTAGATACCTTAAATAAAAATCTGACAATCTGTTAATACAATCTGTATTACAGTAGATACTGAGGGTACAGTCATTGAGTAGACATAGTAACAAAGAAGTTAAATTTGAAAATGGATTAATGTACTTATATGAAGAAAAATGATTCTGAGCAGACTATCTAACTTTTTGGTTATAAATTACCTAAAGATTATTTTAAAAGTAGTGAGAATTTTCAATTTCGACCATTAAAAATTGATAATAGATTCATAATCTATGCCAATATTCATATACCTAAACGAAGTTGATGATCAAGGCATCACTTTTCACACACAAAACATTATAAAATCAATTAATTTATTGTCCCACTAAGAATCTAAAATTGAACTTGAATAAGTTATAGTGAATCACAAATAGATTTTTCCTAATACCTTCTGATAGACTAATCTTCAGCATAATTTTTATCTAAGAAAAGAAACTCCGAGTGAAATTGGGTCTGTAATCAATAGATCTGAAGCTTTGATGGGGTTTCATTGGTTACACACAAGAAAGTAATTATTAATGAAAATAATAACAAATTTTATTTCAACATAACTCAAGTATTTATTTTTTATGAATTAACTATCATTAAGACTAACAAATATCAACTAAATTATATGTCAGATAAAATATTATTATTAAGATAATACTTACGAAGTTTTTGGGTTAATATTTTTTTCTTCCGTTAAGGTAACATCATGTTTAGGTGAACAACTACGGCTTTTTTCTCTTTTAGTTGGTGAAGTATGTCCATTACTCACAAATTTGCCTTTTGACTTTGAACGAGAACTAATGACATAAAAATACATTTATTATGTAATACTTAAAAAAAAAAGGAGGGAATGAGGATGTAACACTCCAACATACAGTAGGTACTAGTACCATATAATTGAAATCATTATTATGAATGTGTCTAATTTGAATGCAATGATGAATAATTATTGCATGTGAAAAATGATTCGGGGTTGATATGATTTAGATTAGCCTTAATACTAAGTTTATTTTATAATGAATTTATAATGATATTTAAGTTGTTTATCATGCTATAAAAGTAACAAATTGTACTATTATAAGTAATATATGGGAGAATTAATTTATTTTGAATTATAGCAAAATAAGAAATATTGATGTAAAATTCTCATTTTTCCTAATGATTCACTTTCAGAAAATATATTGAAGTATTTTCCTAGGCTAAAAATTATCTCAAGAAAAAAAAAACACTTAATATTATTTTATGGTATTAAACTTAATTAATTTAATGCTTCACTCAGAGTATAAAACCGGAGAACTGTATGAAAAACTCAAAATTTTACTTAGTACCCACAAAATAAAAAGGTAAAAATTGTTGAAGCACTTTATTAAAATTAAATATATTGACAAAATAACAGTACTTACTCTCTTTTTGAATGTTTATCTCGTACTTTATCGGAATCATGGTCTTTATATTTATCTCTTTCCTTTTCTTTATCACGTTTATCACGATGACGATCTCTAGATCTGCTACGACGGTCTCTTGTATGTGATCTACTTCGACTTTTCCTTCTAAAATAATAAAGTTGTAGACAATTATTATCAGTATTTAAAATTATTCATATTTTGGCCACAGCCAATACCTAAAGATAGGTATTGGCTGATAGGTAGATCATAGACATAACTTAAGTATTATTTGGTATGTTGTATTAAGTTACTAAATTTTAGACTAAAATAACTGTGGCTATATTCCAATATGCGGTTTACTATCGTTTATCGTGTGCTACCTAACTACAAAAATATATGTATATAGTATGTAGTCTACTACTAATATGACGTGTTCTACAAAAAATAAATTGCTAGCATAGTATTTTTAATCCATTTTATCATCAATAAAAGCAAGAATTTTAAGGTAAAGAAAATGTGTGGTACGAATGAAGACTTATCTGAGAAGTACTTGGCCGAGTACTGGTAGCAAAGCTAAAATAAAAGTAGCATATTAAATTAGCTTTTGAAAGATATGAAATTATGTTTTGTGGATAATCCACAACAGTTTTTTTTTTTTTAATGTATACTTATTTTTCTTTAAAATTATTTATTTTCATAATTGTATAACCTTTTTTTTTATAAAGTGTAAGTTAACCACATATTATACTGTAACTTTTTCTATGTGGTGACACATTCATTAGTAGACCATCAAGACTGTTATTTGGGCACATAAAATGATAATTGACTTATAGAATTTGGATGAAATCACTAAGCAAAAAGAGGGCAAGTAAGTAAACATACATTTCAAGTGTATCTCGCCATTAAGTCAAATTGCTGTAATGGAAGTGTTGAATTTGAATTCAATAAAATATAATTTTGAATTAAAATGTTTCAGGTGTCATTGAATTCTATCAGAACTGTTTGATATTTTTATTTAAATAAATTCAATAATTACCTAAGATATATAAGCTGTCATATTTATATTTCATTTATCAACGTAATTTTCTAATTAAACTGAAATTAATTTAATATTCATACAAAATATGTCACAAAAAGATATTAAGTAAGAGTTATAAACAAAGTTGATGGTATAACTTGAAACCAATAAAGTAATTAATAAATAATTACAGCTTTTAAAAATAAAAGTATAAATATGTTATAATATACACAGTATATTAAAGGTGTGACAAAAAAATAATATTTTAAATGTGTATACTACCAACCCTAAGAAATGTAAATCATAAATTGAGATGATAGTGTTACGTAAATTTAACGTAAAATAAAAATATTAGACAATGTAACATGTACAAAATAAAAATGATTTTATATACATAATTGAAATTAAGATATTACCTTTCTCTATCTTTTTTTCTTTCTTTTTCTCTGTCTTCTTTGTCTTTTTCAAACTTCTTAATCATATCTCCTACTCGCTCTTGATCTTCCTGTAATATATAGTTGCAACATTAGTCCATCAAGATAAAATAATAATAAAAAAAATCTAATGAACAGAATAAACTAACAAATTACATAATAATTTTGGTGTATTTTAACTATCAATTATGAGGTATATTAATTATTGAACACTATAAGTCAGCGGTTCTCCAACTGTAATTCACAAGAAAGGTTACCCAAAATAAATTTTATTGCGTATCATCATAGATCATTTGTAGATTTTATGATTTTGAATAATTTTTATTGCAGCTAATAGGACATATAATCAACAAAATTTTGAGAATCACTGTTTTATTTTAAACAAGAAATAGTATGTCACAACTGTTCTTACTATAAATGAACTAAATGAACACATTTAATAACTAAAATAAACAAAAGAGAAACACAAACAATTAGGTACAACTATAAAAGTAATATTACCATTTTCTTTTTTAATTCTTCCTTTTTTTGTTCAATAAATTTAGGGGGAATTCCTGATGGAGATTCCTGTGCAGACAAAAGTAATTCCCACAAGTCTGTCATAAATACTCGAGCATTTTTTCCATTCAAGAAACCAGTGAGATTTATTTGCATTTTTCTTGGATCAGGCCACTAAAAAATGGCAGTATTAAAAAAATGCAAGTAAAATATACAAGATATTTTACATACAGTATCTGCTTCAAGCTGATTGTTCACAAATTCTTCTACAACATCGTCTTCCATTCCTAGCAATTCTGTTATTCTTTTACCAATCCAAGGTTTGATAGTATCTAGCTTTACTTTATTCATATCAACCTTTTATAGAACATATATATTTTGATAATTTTAATATTTGAAAATTAAATTAAATAAAAACAAATTTAAAAACCTGGTTAATTAAATGATATTAGTTATAATACCTTAGCGTTTAAAGATTCACTAAATTTCATTTGTTTCAAAAGCTTTTTTTCTTTGTCACTGAATCTAGTGTCCTGGTCAGCACTAGTACCCTATAAATTAAATAATAATATGATATCAAAGTTATTTGAATATATTAATGTTAAGTTCAATAGATCTTTTAAGTAATGGTTAAAATCTCATTAGGTACTGGTTATTATAATTGTCTAGAAACACAAAATACTGAATGTATATGATATATAATAGAAAAAATACACAACCTAGGTAGATAGATTTTTTTTTTAATTAAGTAATTATAAAGCATGGTATATTATTATATAATCTTTTTAAATCTCATTCTCAGTATATAATACACCTTAAACCATAGTAAACCTAATCAGTCAAAGGGAAGAAAATAGCTCATTAAGGAGATCTAAAAATACCATACTCATCTAGCAAACCATACATAAATGATTTGAGTACACAACAAGAAAATTATAAAGTAATGGTAATGATAAACATATTACTCTTTTACACTATACAACAATATCTAACTTAATTTAGTAATATCAACAATATTGAATGTATACATTGATAACTATAACTGAACTAACATTTTAAAGGATACTGCTGTGCCCGCTCATTTAAACTATAAATAACTATTATTAATACTAATATGATTTGAATGTATAGAATTGTTAAGGAAAATATATTCAAGTAAGGATTAATATACAGAGTGTCCTGCAAGGATTTACCCATTGCAATATCTCAAGAAATAAAAAAGATATCAAAATTCTGGTTTTGTAATAAGATGCACAAGGATAAGAACTAGTTATTTTATTATTTATTTTAATGTTTTGGTAAAAAATTTAAAAAATACATTTTTTATTTGATGATTTCCAAAAAAATTGAAGATTTTGTAGTTTAATTTTCTGAAAATATTGACATTTAAAAATGTTATCTTCATTAATTTCCTGATTTTTAATATTTTTCCTAATTTTGAGGAAATAAAATATGATTATAACTAGGAACACTGAAAGCGTTTTCCCGGCTGTACGATCACACACGCCGTATGGCAAGTCACATGTTTGATAACTAGAGTTAGGATTTGTATGCATTTACATATTTGTTATGAGTGTATGCATGCAGTTTGACAGGAGAAAGAAATGTGAACAATTTGTGTATCGGAGAAAAAAGTTTTTTATGCATACAAATGTATATTTTAGGGATGAGAGCATATTTGGAGAATTTGGCATAGGCAATCAAGCATATTTTGTATACAATAGTTCATTTACTGTATCTTATAGTTTTGGATAATTTGTATTAAAAGTATATTTTGCTTATCGAAATACAGTCATTGATAACAATGAAGATCAGTTATATTTAAATTTCCTTTATACAATTATATTTTTAGACTTATATTGGGTTAAAACGCCGCCTTATGTTGTAGCCGTTGTTGGGCATTTAGTTAATATTTAATTAATTATAATTTATAATTGTTCTTTAATTAATGTTGTAAGTTGATATCACAGTGTCCATAAAAAAAAAAAAATATTATAAACGCATATATTTTGGGTAAGAGCATACCTATTTTGGCATATCTACATATTATTAAAAAAAAGAGCAATATCAAATACATATTAAAAAGTTTTTTGATGCATAAATGCATACTATTTTAAAGTTTTTGAATGCATACAAATCCAAACCCTATTGATAACACTACAATATTAAATAATTCTCAATTTTTCTCAAAAAAATAATAATTTAAAATTGGGAAATGAATGAAAATAAAATTATGAAACATCAATATTTTCAGAAAAATAAATTCCACAAAATTGTTATTATCATTTTTTAGGAAATAATTAAGTACCAAAAAATATTTTTATTATTTTACCAGATACTTGATATTTCCATTACTTTGAGAGATATCGCAGAGTAAATACTGCTTAAAATAAAAAAATAGCTGTTATTACAAGTACCTAATTTTTTGGGAACAGTCTTAAACATTTAAAAAAATAGTTGTCTAAAAAAAAAATAATTTCAAAATGTTTAACTTTTTGATAAGTGTTTACCTAGAAACTAATAACTTTGTACTATTATAAATTTTAATAATTCATAAATTTAAAAACTTCTAATTATGTAATTTATCATCTAAACTTAATTAAACACCTTATTGGTTGTTCATATAATTAATTACATAATATATTTTATATTAGATTTAAAAATTTTGATCTTATTAACTAGGTAGATTTAGTTTCAGTTAACTATTTTACTTTCATAATTGAACTAGGTAGGATGGTACCAATGAAATATTAATAGAGGTACACTTGTAAAGTCACTTTTTGGGTATAAATACTACTTTATTAGTTTTATTATTTACCTCATATTTTTCTTTTATATAGCTAACCTACTACATTTTATAAACACTAGTTGTATTATAATATAATAATACATGCAAATAACATTATTTATCTTGTTTAGTTTGTATGAGTGATCATCAAAAAATGACAATTATTGTGTATCAATAATCAATATGGTTACAATACTATACTATATTACCATGCCAACCTAATATATAGGTAAAGCAGAAATTAAACATAAAACTGCCTGGCTTATTTCAACAACACAATATAGAGAATATCCAGAGGTAAACATAAACGTATTTAATGAAAAACAAAATACACAACGAAAAACGAGGATATTTATTTATGGTGTTCAGATAAACAACTGTAACACTGAATAATACTAAATTCTGAGCAATTCCAATGCATAATTGTGCGTTTGAAAACGTGAAACGTCGTAATTGTTTCAGTCGTAGCTAACGAGAAACATTTAAGCATTTAACATAATTTTTAAAAATGTACTCACCGTATACATCTTGATTCCGATTCAGGAATCAACAGATCAGAATATTCAAACACTCAGGCGGGTGAAAAACAAGAACCACCGACTAATATAATAAAATAGTAAAATCTTCATAAAAATTAAAAACAGATAGTTCGAAGTGCATCGGTTCGGACGCTCGTCGCTTGACGTACGGTACAGTTCGGTACCTCACAGGGTCGAAAACAATGGTTAAAAGGAAATTACATCTTTCTGATTGGTTGCGATTCGAATCAGTATTGTAACATGCACAAACTAATACAATATTGCATAAACGTAGTTCGTGGTTCCACGCCATCTGTTCAAATAATATTGTGTAATCGACAATCGTACGAAATTATTGTACGGCATTCCTAATCTAGTGGTCATGGAAAGAGAAAACCGCGTTTTCCGGGACGATTACAGAATAATAATAAATTATTGTAATATTATGAATTATTGTATGGACGCCGTCATGTCATTATTATATCCAAGGATAATTAATGGTAACCGCTATAGACATAACATATTGTTATAAGTAAAGTTGTATATAAATATTATAAATATTATGTCCATGAGGGTAACGCTCTATTAGTTCATTTAAACGCCACCGTTGTAAAGTTGGTAAAGCGCTATCAGACATCAGTCATTTTACGAACGGTTCTTAAGGTTCTTCGCACTTTCGCAGGAAAATTTTTTCGTATGATCCATTTCCTTATCACAATATTATATTATATTTTGAAATATTACTATATTAGTATTTTCATATTTCATGGTTTACTTGGTTCAGTAAGTTGTTTAGTACACTGCACAAGGCACAACACCCAAGACAACATTTTATTCACAGACATTTTGTTAATAATAAATTATTGATAGATAATATTATTGACATTTATTAATTGCTTGAACAAAAAAAAAAAAAATTTGAAAACACTAAACAAATAATAACACCTAACCTCACAGGAAAACATATTAAAAATAATATACTAATTTATAAAAAAAATTGTATGTCAAAATAAAACTTAAAATTGGGAAACCGGAAAATCTACTAGTCGGCGCTGGCTAAACAAGAAAAGTTTACTAACAAGGAGTACACTACTAAAATAGGCAATCTTCCAATAACCCCGAAATCCCCAATTTATTATTGAGTGCCCTAATTTTATTTTTATGACCCAATTAATGCGATAAGATACAATGCAAGAATGCAATGAATAGGTTTAGCTTTGACTATCCTTTTAATTTTTATTGCTCTTATTATTAGGACCCGTAGTTGAACTCAGGTTAAACCACCGAATTCGGCCGGTAAAATCAGTGGTTCAAGCGTAACCGAGGTTTAATCTATGATTGTAAAACAGGCCCTTACTATCTTACGAAATACATTGATGGGTAATCGTATAAATCATATTTCCCCGCCAAAATCATGACATTTGGCAGCAATTCATAAATTTACAGTCACAATTTATATACAATATAATATAATACCATTGATTATAGAATACTATTCTATAATCAATGATAATACCAAAGTTAATATAAATATATAAATTTAGATTAACCTTGATATATTAATACACCTGTTCTATGATAATACCGTGATAAGTGATGTGGTTTTAAATAATAACCACGAACGTGGTCATTACCATGGTATAAGTGTGATAAGGAAATGGATCATACGAAAAATTTTTCCTGCGAGGAACGGTTCGTATGGTTACGGTTTGGATTTCCGTATTCAACTATTGATAACTGATAAGCACTCGTCTCGTTTTGCATTTGGCATTTTGATTTTTGTTTTACACTAGGACATTAACAGGCCATGTCAGGTGACAGGTATCATAAATCGTTTATCGTCAACATTAGAATAATATTATATTATTTTAGTTTCGTGCTGGTCGTCGCACGTCTCTACTGTCTTTTAAATATTAATAGCCTATAGCCGCTGTTTAAAACATTCCCGAAGATGCCGCGAATCATGATAAAAGGCGGCGTTTGGCGAAATACCGAGGTGAGATTTAAACGTTTTCGAAAATTAACGTTAACAGAGCACATTTCAGTGTCTAATTCAATTAATTTTATTGATTCAGAGTTAGTATATACAATGTTACAATATTTAGTATGTGTAAATCAATTAATATTATGGTTGACTGGGAACAATATATCTCAGTTTGAGAAGTTCAAAAATACATTGTTTTGGTTTTTATATTGTGTGTAATTATAAAATATTCATTATTGTCAACACTTTGGTGAATACTGAATCAAAACATGATTATACTTGGCTGAATTAATTTTGTACAAAAGCTTTTTTGTTTGTTTTAATTGGAAACTGTCATTCTTATGCAGTACCTAAATATGAAAGTGCATAGGTACAGAAAAATATTACTCAATAGGTTAAAAAAAATTTTTAATGCAGTTTTTGAGTTAAAAGTTTTAACAGCGATAGTCAAAAGATATGTCTTAAGCTCATTGTATTTTTTTTGATACTGATAGGTAAAATAATCTTTATTTAATATTAGATACGAATTACAATAGGTATAATTTGTTATTGAGTATTACTTATTGATTCTTTCAAGTCTATTAGAAACTTTTAACTACATTGTACAGAATGCAACCGAAAATTTAATAAATTAAATCACTTTTGTTCTTGACAATTAAAAAAAAAAATTTTCTGCATAATTAATATTCTTGTACTGTATGTACACTAAACCTAAAATTTATGTTTTTAGTTCTGAAAATTTTCAATTTGTTAATTTAAAATTTAGGAAAATTGTAATTGCCAAAATATTTAWTTAAGTTGTGATTTACTTGTTATAATTTTTTTAAATACTCGTTAATGTAACAACTTAAAAAATAATAATATTTAGATTTTTACAAGTAGGTAAATATACCTATTTAAAAATGTCGAATAATATATTTCTTTAAGTTTATATGTTTTGAGTTTAAAATATTATTGCATCTGGATCAACTTTAATTTTCAAAAACAATGAGATTTTCAAAAAAAAAAAAAATGTAAAAAGTAAACTGTGTGACCAACTATATGTTTTTAAATCAACATTTTTTTATAAATCAGATTTTGAACAACAATTATTTCATTATTTAAATAATTTTGTTAATTCCACATAATAAATCATAAATCTATCAATTGGATATCAGCAATTTACCCATTGCGATATCTCCCAAAATAATGGTGATATCGAAATTCTGGTTTTATAACAAGACAGAGGTATAAGAACTACAATTATTTAATATTTCAATGTTTTGGTAATAAAGTTAAAAAAATATATATTTTTTATTTGATTATTTCTAAAAAAATTGACCATTATAATATTGTAGTTTATTTTTCTGAAAATATTGACATTTTAAAATTTTATTTTCATTAATTTCCTGATTTATAATTTTTCGAGAAAAATTGTGAATTATTTAACACTGTAATGTTATCAAACATGTGACCCGCCGTGCGACACGTCTCGGTATAAAAATAAATGATAAGGGTAAACTACACATGGAATGATATTTAATGTCAAATTTTTCATTATTTATTGTTATTTGTTTTTCATGATAATTTTTTTTTATTACAGGATGAGATTCTTAAAGCAGCTGTTATGAAATATGGCAAAAATCAATGGTCACGTATTGCATCATTATTACACCGTAAATCAGCTAAACAATGTAAGGCACGTTGGTTTGAATGGVTTGATCCAAGTATTAAAAAAACTGAATGGAGTCGAGAAGAAGATGAAAAGCTTTTACATCTTGCTAAACTCATGCCAACACAATGGCGTACGATTGCTCCAATCGTTGGTCGCACAGCTTCACAGTGTTTGGAAAGATATGAATATTTATTGTTAGTAAATATYACTAAATAATATTTAAATTTAATATTAATTGTTTAGCTAAATATATGTTAGTCGTTAGATATATTAATTTAAAARTATTATTTGTTGGATATAACTTATTATGTTTCCAGGGATCAAGCCCAAAGGAAAGAAGATGGTGAAGAAGTAGGAGATGATCCTAGAAAATTGAAACCAGGTGAAATTGATCCAAATCCTGAAACAAAACCAGCTCGTCCCGATCCTAAAGAYATGGATGAAGATGGTGATTACTTGTTTATAATCTAATATTTAATACCTTTGTCTATATTTATTTTTAAGAATAATTTTAAATTTAAGAGTATAATTAACAGCTGCTAGGTATATCCTGTAGAACTGTTTTAAACWCTTATAATAATAAATAATATTAGTTCAGTATCAGTTATAAATGTTCTGCTTCTWTGTTAGAATTTAAAACATACTCCCATTAAAAAAAAAAATCTAATACTTCAAAAATCATGATATTACTTATAAAAAAAATGTTATGTAAAATGTTAGTACTTACAATTTATTGAATTAAATATATATTTTTTATGGAAATAATTAATTAATAATTAACTTTGTTATGAGTATGTACCAAAATAAAATTTTACTTTGGATRAAATCTATAGTAATTATTTAAAGTTAATACTAATATTATACAAGTTATTCACCGTTTGTTACTATATTTWAAAATATTTTCTAGAGTTGGAAATGCTTTCTGAAGCAAGAGCTCGTTTAGCTAACACACAGGGTAAGAAGGCAAAACGTAAAGCTCGTGAGAAGCAATTAGAAGAAGCTAGAAGACTTGCTGCATTACAAGTAAATTTTAAAATGTTTATAAAATGATTATGCAGATAAAAATATTTTTTTTTAATTTTGTAGAAACGGAGAGAATTGCGTGCTGCTGGTATAGGTGTTGGAAGAGGAAACAAGCGAAAGCGTGGTATAGACTACAACGCTGAAATACCATTTGAGAAAAAGCCAGCTTTAGGGTTTTATGATACTGCCAATGAGGAAGTTGATCCACTTGCACCAGATTTYAGAAAATTGAGGCAACAAAATTTAGATGGAGAACTACGTGTAGAAATTGAAGAGGTAAATAATTTTTCAACTTTTAAGAATTATTTTGTAATTGTGTTTGTATTTTAGAGAGAACGAAAGAAAGACAAAGCTAAGCTCAAGCAGCGTAAAGAAAATGAAGTTCCTTTAGCTATGTTAAATAATCAAGAACCTATTAGGAAAATGAGTAAACTTGTTTTACCTGAACCACAAATATCTGATCAAGTAATAATTTATAATTTTATCATAAACATTTTAAAAATAAATTATAATTATTTTAAAGGAATTACAACAAGTTGTTAAATTGGGACGAGCTAGTGAAATGGCACGAGAAATAGCAATGGAAAATGGTCC